ATGTACTTTTGTATAACCCTGAGGGTCTCCTTCCATTTCCATGCAATTTCCCTTCTCTCTCCCTTTCCCTCCCACCTCTCATCCCTATTTAATGCTAATCTTCTTATTCCTATATTCTTTAGAGTTCTCTTTACTTCTAATTATCCAAACCTTCATTACTCTAATCCCATTATATTTAATGGTTCTTTTTTTAAAATATTTTTTTAGTTCTACATGGATGCAGCATCTTTATTTTATTTACTTTTATATGGTGCTGAGGATCGAACCCAGTGCCTCCCTCATGAGAGGCAAGCACTCTACCGCTGGCCACACCCCAGCCGTCATAGTTAATGGTTCTTTATATCAAACTTTCCTTGTGTTTTCTCTCATTCCTGATTGGACCAGACTGATAACACCAACTTTGTACACTTGAGTAGTCCAATATGGCAGCTATTCAGCAGAAATGTAACTGGTGCCACTGAGGAAGTGAAGAATTTTTCATCTTATTTTAAAATTTTAAATTGTAAAACACACATAAAATTTGCCACCTTAATCTTAAGTGTATAGTTCAGTAACGTTAAGTATATTCATACTGTTGTGCAACCAATTTTCAGAACCTTTTCATCTGGCAAAATGGAAAATCTATAGTCATTATACATCTTTCTATTTCCCCTTCTCCCCTAGTCCCTAGAAACCACTGCTAACTTCATTCAATTTAAATTTTAATTAGAAAAACTGGAGCACTACGTCTTATACTAAATATTTGGTTGCATGTAAAATCTCATTAATATTTTATTATTTTAATTACATGTTGAAATGATATTTTGGATATAGTGGGTTAGATAAAATACATTACTAAAATTTTATATATATATATATATATATATATATATATATATATATATATATATATTGCAGACAGGATATCACAATTCAATAATATGTTGATTATTACCTGGCAAACAGTAGGCACCCTACAGATTCTGATTTCCTTTATCTCTTATTTATAGTGGGCTCTCTTGTTAGAGAGTGTTAAGTTATACAGAAACGCATGTGGACATGTATGCATGTGATTGGTGCCTAAATTCATATAGTACACCACACAAAGGAGGAAATAGCTACAGCCTGATCATTAGGACCAAGGCCAAATTGCAAAATAAGAAGTTTGCCTTTAACTTAGCTGAACTTTGGAGGTCAAGGCAGTTAACAGACCCAAAGATGTGGGGTTCCCTCCTCCTGGGCTCCATTGTTCTTGTTCCCTATCTGACTTCTGGAAGAAAGGCTCCTGCCAAGCAGCAGGTGGGAAACAGTGGTCTACCTTTGGACACTTTCTGGTTGGAGCTCACTGCTGTCTTCTCAGGTCATCCTTCACCTTGTTCTCCATGAGAAATGTGGATAGGGATGGTGTGTTCCTTGGTCTCTGGCAGAAAAGGGGCAGAGTGGAGTAGAGTGAGGCTACGTCCTCAGGAGCACATTGAGGCCAGGTCCCCGCTCTACTGAGATCAGAAGAATGAAAATCTTCAGAGCAGGAATGTGGCTAGTCTGAACTGAAATGTGTCAGAAGCTTAAAACACAGAGTAAAATTCAAAGCTTTAGTTATTTAGGGTATATTGGTTTAAATAAAGTATTATAACCAAGCTTATTTTTACTTATTTCTTTTTACTTTTTAAATGTCGCTATTAGAACGTTTTTGATTGCAAATGTGGCTTGATTCTACTTTTATAGGTCAGCCCTGTTCTACTTTCACCATCTCTATAGTCTTTACCACTTTTCCTGAACAGTTATAACTTCTCCCTTCCTTGAACTTTCACAGCTCTTGAATCTCTCTTAGAATATTTGTGGAGGACATTTGCCTGCTGACGTTCCATTTCCTTTTTTAATGGGCATCCTGATCTCCTTTTTTGAGAATGTTCCATGGTGTGGAGTCATGATGAGAATTAGTGACCACTTTCCACTACAGAAACGAGAAGACTTTTCTCTGCTAGCCTGGGGGATAAGCATACAAATCATACTCCTTCCACTGGAAACTCATTTTGTATCTTGAGCAAGTGTGGCAATGATGTGGAAAAGTTAGAGGTACTATTCCTTAAAGCTATAGCAAGGTATGATGCATATGCTACATGAATTCTTCCCACCTAGTTATTTTTGCAGTGTTTTTAGCTCTCTAAAGGTTCTCTAAGTTGATCAGAAATCAATCAATTTGATTTTTAAAATGCTTACCACTGAGTCTGTGAGATCTTGACAATTGTCCAATTTCTCTTTTTCTTAAGATTAAGGAAAAGAGTCTGCTTCTGTTGTTTGCAACCAAGAACCTTGATTGGAATTGTACCTATGTTACTTTACATGTATTACATTTAGTTCTAGCAAATTCTATTTCTGGAATTAAAGCAAAAACTGAAGATGCACAGCTATCAGACCCACAGGTCGATGTACCAAGAAGGATGGGTATCTTTGACAAGATGGCTGCACATCCATGCTTCTCAGTCCTGAGATGTTGCTGTGTTCATTCTAGGAGCAGAGTATAATGGACCATCTGAAGTAATGGGTCCGTGGTAGGCAGAATAATGCCCCATTAAACATGTTCATGTCCTATTTTCCAGAAACTCTGAATGATACCTTATGTGGTAAAAGTGCACAAGTAGAGGATCTTGAGGCAGGGAGGTGATCCTGAATTATCTGGGTAGGACCAATGTAATCACAAGGGTCCTGAGGAGGGACAACCCTTTACCAGCTGGATTAAAGAGACATGACTACAGAAGCAGAAGCAGAAAGATGCAACACTGCTGGCGAGATAAAGAAAGGCAGCCTCTACAAGCTGGAAGAAGCAAGGGAATAGATCCTCCCTAGAGCCTAAAAAGGAACACAGCTCTTCCAACACCTTGATTTTTTTTTAACAAGTGAGACCTCTGACCTACAAAATTTGTGCTATTTTAAGTTATTAGGTTTGTGATAATGTGTTATGGCAGCAATAGAAAACTAACATAAGGTCTACCCCTTGACCAGGGAAGGACATTGCATTAAATGACTGTCCTACCAAGGCTGCAATCCTTGGATATCAGGGAGGCAGCTCTTGTGTGAAAATCAGGTGCCATTAACAAATGAGGGGAAAGGATGCTGAATAAGCAAAATGTGAATACCTATTGCAACCAACCACAACTGAGTTTTTAGGGTCAGCAACTGATTAGGTTAAATATTTTGGGTGACATAACTTGAGAAAATAGAGGGAGTCTATAAGGAATGTAAATCCAATGCTTAAACGTACACATACATGTGCTATATATATCTATTTAAAACTGTATTTTAAAAAATCCAAATATTGTCAAAAGAATCTAATGAAAATTTGTGAAAATGAGTGATTCTCCTTTGGTAAAGATAAAGCTAATTCAGCCAGCTGTCTTAGCACCTAGACATATGGACCTGTTCCATAATGTGTTTAAGAATCACTGACTAATTAGTTGTTGATAAATGAGAGACACTAATGGAGACCTACTTAGAAGCAAATGAGATGGAAGTTATGGTTCACCAGTTTAAGAATGTAAAACATACCAGGAGAGCTGAAAGGGGCAAAAAAGGGAATTTACTATACCTGTCCCAAAATCCTGAGTGTGATTACTTAAGGACACAAGAAGATCTGAGTGAGGTGATATAAGTAACCTTATCAGCAAAGCCAAGGCTGATGTCCAACATGGACTCAGTTTTTCAAAGTTTGGTCTCATTGGGCAACAGCTTAACAGGTATAGGTACCAAAAAATCTCACTTTGGAATAGAGTAGAACATTACCCTATAGGGGACATACATTGTCAGCTCTTCTCTTTATTTCCTTTCCTTTTGTTTCACTTATCTTTTTCATTGTTTCTTGTCCCTTATTAATTTAGCCAAGAGGTTGGCTCATAAAGATATCTTTCCTGAAGTTTAAGATACTCATGCTAAAGTGATAGTGAAGTACCTTGGTCACCTTTTTCAAGGCAAATCTTTGTTCTGGTTAAATTTTATTTTAGCTGTGAGAAAATTCCCTTTGTGAGTTCGTGTTTTCCTTTTTGTTGTTGTTGCAGTGCTGGGATCCAATACAGGGCTTCATGGATGCAAGGCAAGCACTTTACCACTGAACTATATGTAGTCCCAGACTGCTAGGGTTTTTTTGTGGTTGGGATTTAAGAGAGGTGCAGAGGAAGGGGCTTCCTTTCTCAGACATCAGAGCTAGGAAAGCTTGAAAAGATAATAGAACTGTTCTATGTCTTGGCCATACTAAAAATATCTGGAAAGCTTAAAATCATTATTCAGTTTCACAATTCTGCAAGTGGGACCCTGGCATCTGAACGCTTTAAAAACTCCTCTCCAAATAATGGATGTCTAGCCAGTGCTGCCAGTTAAGAATCATTGCTTCAGAATTTTCTAGCATGATTACCTTGGAGGTCATTAGTTTTGTGGCATCCTCTCTGGGAGGTATGGCCTCACAATGCCTCTCAAGCATCGGTACGTTTTAAGAATTACCTGAGGTGCTGTTTAAAAGTCAGATTCCCAGGCGTCATCTTTAGTCCTAGAAGATCACGCTCGCTGGCGCCTAGGAACTAATGGTCACAGGGCAACGCCTGGTGGGGGAAACAAGACAATTTTTGGTGAGTATAGACCTCCTGAAACCTGTTTCTCCCTGATACCCCCCGCCCCCCTTACACTGGGCAGTTTTGACCCAGACCAGAAAAGATGACGACGAGAGTGTGGCAGGTGTGTGGCGCTGGGCGTGGTTGGTCTTACATTCGAGAACATTCCCGGGGAGGTGGGTATAGCCCAGGGACTTTTTCTCTTCCGCCGCTTCCCGGCTCCACACGTTCCTCAGAGGCCTGCAGTGGGGGGAGGGGGTGTGCCACAGGTTTTCTGGCTCCCGCGGAGGTGCGGGCACCGCCTGGGGTGCGCGCACCGTGAGGCCAGACATTCGCGCGCGGCCGGGCCTCGCCACCTCTAGCTCCCGGCGCCGCCTCCGCCATCCGCGCCGGCGGCGCTGCCCGGGGGCGGGGACTCGCGCTGCGGAGGCCACAGACGCGGCGGCGCTGGACGCGGAGGCGCGGGGCTCACTGCGCGGAGCGGGTCCGAGCTCGAGGTAGGCAACGGTGGCGAAAACCGGCCCGGGCGGCCTTGGAGCTGGGCTGCAGAGCGCCAAGCGGTCACCGGAGCCTAGGAAGGAGGTGAGTGGGTGGCGCGCGTCCCTGGCTTCCTGTGATCCCTCTCCTTTCCTCCTCAGCCCGGCACCTCCGAGACCTCGCGCGGGTCCCTGGAGACTCCCCCAGGCTCGCGCGGACGCTGCAGCCTTTTACCCGCTGCCCTCGTGGCTGGCGCCGCATCTTCGCGCGCGGTAGCAGCCCGAGGCTACCCGGACCCTTTGGTTGGATCCCCAAGGTCGGGCGCGCGGCCCCCTGGCCCTTAGGTGAGGGCTGTGCGAGCTCCCCCCCCCCCCATGAAGGCCAATTTCGGGCCACGCGGGGCCTTTCTTTTTGTTCTGAGCTTTGTCACGGGTGTCGGCATCCAAAATCAAAAGCGTGCGGCGACCCCTAAGTCACACTCGTTCTAGTTCTGCTGCAAGATTTGCACGAGGGCCAAAGGGCTGGCCTCTCTTCCTCCCTCCACCCTAGGCGCTCTTGGGCGGCCGCGGGTGCCCACGTTGCGGCGGTCGAGACCTGGCAGGTGACCCGGAGTTTGGCTCCAGGTCCTCCCTTCACGCGGCTGGAGCCCAGCTGGAGCGGGTTCTCCGCTGATGCTCCGGGTTCTAACCCGTGCTTCCTACGTTTGCCAGGATGCAGGAGCCGCACAACTTTGTCGGCTGTAAAATAGTCGCCAGAGGTTTTAAACACTATTTCACACCCTATTTAATATTTTTAGTGATTTTTTTAAAAAGCAAAGGAAAATTGGGAAAAAAATTACCAATTTTGATAAATATTCTTTTCAGTAGAATTTAAGAATCATTATGTTTGGAGGGCCATGATGACCTAGCCATTTTCAGATGTCTCATCTCCATGCCTGCAAAACCAAACTTGTATGACTTCCATGGCATGAGGTTTCCTTTGTCTGATTTGGGGTCTCTAGGCCTTATAATTATGCAAAAATTGAAGATCTTGGGTTGGATAAATAAGATGTATAACAGCCTGATAAAATATTTAGGAGTGTTAGAATGTCTCTGATTGCTGGCCACCAGATTAGCTCAAATTTAGACAGTTTTGGTATTTCTGAATTTGGGGGGCATGAGACCTGGGGAGGAATACAGTATCTTATCGTTAGTCCTTGTGGGTCTCTGAAAGCATTCTAGCTCTTTCTGCTTGTGTTACGAAACAAGTAAACTAAGCTCATGCTATTGAGGAAGAATGATTTTTAATTTCTTTGCAAGCAGAAACCATTAACTTGCTAAGACAGACTGTTCTTAGGCCAGACCCTTTTTAAGGTGTTGATGGACAAAAATAAATTGAATTGTTAGGAAGTTTAAAACGTTTGCTTTTAAGACATATTTCATCCTGAGGAGAGGTTATCACATTTTTCAAAATTGGCTTTGCACAAAAATGAAAGAAATGAGAGGAAAGGAGTACTGTGAAGGTAGGGTGGTCAAGTTGCCAATGACCTGGCCATTAGGAGCTAAAGCTTTCTCATTGCTGGCTACATTTAGAAATGGAAATGGAAATGTTCTTCATTTTCTTTTTCTTTCCTTTTTTTTTTTTTTTTTGAGGGATGGAACAGAAACAGCAGTGAGGACATAGGACCCTGACAGGCAACCTGCAGTAGCCCTTTGTTTATAAGGCCACCTTCCCCAGCATGAGGGGATAGCTGTTTTGTCTTGGGAAAGAACCTGGGAGAAATGCCTCTGTGTGGATGAGGTGGGAGGATGGAGAAGCATTTTAGCAGGTCCTGTTGAGCACTGTTACTAAAAGGTAGCTTTAAGACAGCCTGGTTCTAGAAGACCAGTTCTGATTCTCAAGAGTCCTGGGGTGGCCAGGGACAGAAGGTGGTTGAGAATTCTGTCCCTTTGACTTTAATTCTATTTCATTTTTATTTTTTCTTAAAAACACTTCTTTTTTGTTACAAAGAAGAAGGAAAAAAACTAGAAAATTTGTCTAACCATCTGCAGAAAAGTGGGAATGGTCTTAATATGCTTATGCTCTTACCTTAGAAAAGTGAGTGATATTTCACTTGCACTCTGTCTCACCACAAAAGTTCATTGAAGATTATTGTCATTTTCTTTTTCAGACTTTTCAAGTTACTGATGAAACTAGGTTAAAAGAGAGACTTCACTTGAAATTTAAGAAGTATTTCCTAAATCCCCAAAGTCTCTTTGGCTTCATACATTAAAAATACATGTCATTTCAGATTTTTACATCTTGATCTTATTTTCCTTTAACACCCTAAAGGATTATATTAATAGAATGTCCCCTGTTAAGATATTGAAGATTAATTAGTTTCTGACAAAAATTTACATATATAAATATTATATGATTACTCTGGTTTATATTATAAATTGCTGTGGTTTCAAAAAAATTTTTTTTGATCATTCTCATTGGTAAAAAAGCCTTTTTTTAAAGCATTTCCCTGTATGAGTGATTGTTATTTATAAATTATATATATTTAGATATATATACTAATTGTGGTTATATTGTATCTTGAAGCCCATATACACTTAGGGCTGGATTCATTGCCAGTGACAGTGGAGGTAAAACCTTATTCCATATGTTTTCTCATAATCTTGAGTGTTTTGGGCCTGTTTCTCTTCAGATCTGATTACATCATCATGGTTGTTACTTTGAGATGTGGTTCATGCAAAACTGACTCAGTGTTAAGCATGTGTATTTTCAGCCATGTTGCCTTTAAGTATAACTTTAATTTGTGTTTTTATGGAAACCTTAAAAGCATCCTGTCCTTTCCAAAATTTTGATAATCCACCCATCTATCCCATTGTGCATGTGCCAACTAAAATAGTTGCATTGTGCTGAAGGTGAAGGAAGGGAAGTAGGTGACCCTGTCCACCCGTGCCTTACTCCTCAGGCATTTCGGTGTTTTTTTTTGTTTTTATTTTTTTTTAAGATGTTGATTGACCTTTATTTTTATTCATTTATTTGTATGTGGTGCTGAGACTCTAACCCAGTGCCTCACACATGCCAGGCACTGCTCTACCACTGAGCCATAACCCCAGGCCCCACCTCAGTGGTTTTTGACAGGTGATCCTCTGACAGAGGGACACAGTGAGGATGCAGTGTTAGTTTCTGCTTACATTACTACTAGTGATGTTTTATGGTGATAAATATTTACTACTAATATGATGCAGTATGGCATAAAATAATTTGTGTACATGATACATACAGCATTGCGTGTCATACTTGTATAGTGAAATGTAGTTTCCTTTTTTTATTTTTTAAATGCATGACAACAGTGGAATGCATTACAATCCTTATTACACATATAATAATATCCTTATTACACAGCATAATTTTTCATATCTCTGTATATAAAATATGTTTATGCCAAATTATGCCATTATACATGTACTCTTTTCTTTTGCATTACAATTCTTAATACACATATATACCACAACTTTTCATATCTCAATTTGTATATAGGTATGTTGACACCAAATTCAAATCTTCATACATGTATTTTGTATAATGATAACCATCACATTCCACCATCCTTGCTAATCCCCTTTTCCTCCCACCCCTCTTCCCTGTCTAGAAATATCTTCCTCCCATGCTCTCCTTCCCTACCCCACTTTGAGTCACCCCCCTAATATCAGAGAAAACATTCAGCATTTGTTTTTTGTGGATTGGCTAACTTCACTTAGCATTATCTTCTCTAATGCCATCCATTTACCTGCAAATGCCACGATTTTGTTCTTTTTTAGTGCTGAGTAATATTCCATTGTGTATAAATGCCGCATTTTTTTTTTTTATCCATTCATTCACTAAGGGACATCTAGGTTGGCTCCACAGTTTAGCCTTGTGAATTGTGCTGCTATAAACATTGATGTGGCTGTGTCCCTGTAGTATGCTGTTTTTAGATCCTTTGGGTATAGTCCAAGAAGAGGAATAGCTGGGTCAAATGGTGGTTCCATTCCCAGCTTTCCAAGGAATCTCCATACTGCTTTCCAAATTGGCTGCACCAATTTGAAGTCCCACCAGCAATGTATGAGTGTACCTTTTTCCTCACATCCTCGCCAACACTTATATAATTTCTAGGATTTTTCCTCTCTAGCATCTTCTCTGCCCTCTGGGATGCGTGTGCCCTGCCAGTATACAGTGGTCTCTCACTTCAGCCTCAAATTGTAATTTTCTTATTGCATCCTCAGAAGAACCTCATGAAGGCAGGTATAATTGGTCTTCCCACTTTTTTTTTTTTTTTTTTTAATGGAGACTGAAAGGTCAAGTAATACCACAGCAGGCCCTTGTAGTTGAGCCTTTACTTGATGGTAAATGCTTTCTTTGATGTTTTCATTTAATTTTCACATTTAATTTTACCCTTACAGATAAGCCAAGAGGTTTGGAATGAGTAATTGCCCCATGTCACCCAGTTAGAAATGTTGCCTGCTCAAGGCAGGATCCTGGGTCTTTGTGTTCCTTGAGAGTACAGATTTTTTTCACTTTAAAATCATAATTCAAGTGGGTTTGAATGAGATCAGTTTTTTCTGTTTCTTATGGTATACATATGGTACTAATGTTTTTGTTTTTGTTATAATAAATGAAGAAGCTGTAAAATACTATGGGAATGCTAGAAATACAGCTTCAAGGCTTGCTAATGTTACAATTTTCTATCTTCCTTACATCTTAATTTTTTTTCATTGTTCCTTTTGGTTTTTATATTTAGAAGAAAGCTGATTGAGGGGGGAAAAAAAGAGATTGAATAGGAAAACATCATTCTTTCTCTTTCCCACTCTCTCTTTGTACAACTTGTATGCACCCTTCCTTAGATATACATTCTATATATGAAAAATATATTCACATACAGTATGTGTTTTTAAAAATTTATCAACAGGGCAGTGCTCAGTAGTAGAGTGCTTGCTTAGCATGTGCAAGGCCCCAGGTTCCATCCCCAGGACTGCAAAAAAAAAGCTGGGGCGGGGGGCATGGTTTTTTACATATCATTTTGCAACTTTTTTTCCTCCAAACATTTTTTGGGGAGGAAGGGGGAGCACTGGGGATTGAACTCAGGGGTTCTC